GCTCTCCCTCCCACCCAGAGTCTCACACTTTTACTCTCTGAATCCTTCCTTCCCTACCGCTCTCTTTCTTCATCTTGTGCAGTGAGCAGGGACGGGGAGGGGAGGAGTGTGAGGTTCTCATCCTACTGTAGACTTTAAGGAGGGAAATTAGGAGATGTGTTAACAGAAGATGGTGAGGTGATGAATTCAGAGACCAGAGTCATAAAATAAGGACACAGAGAAGGGGAACTCCACCAGGACAGGGTGAAAATGGAGCACCGACTTCAGCATTACAGTTCATCCACAGACACAATGTGCACAGGCCTGGAGCAGATTCTGCTGTTGCCATAGAAACAGTGAGGCTGGGGTGACCGCGGGACACTGGGAGAGTGATGGTGAGGGGACGCTACCGGTTCTGCAGCTACACGAGGATACAGGCAGGGAGGAAACATAAATAGTGATGATCCTGTGTTGTTTTACTGCACCTTCACTGAGAGTGAGTCAACTCATTTGATTCAGTTCAACGCTGGAAATTCAGCCCAACACGGTTCTGCATCTGCTGTGAGTTTGTCGTAGACAAATTAAGAAAACAACCATAAAAACATGTGCAAAAAAGGTCTGCGTGTGGCCTGAAACGTTTAACTTTTTTCAATCCAACGGCTGCTTTTCACATAAACATGTGGCTTTGTGTCTTAAACAAACAAGAATCTTGGATGAATGCAAACTTTTGCAATGCAAGACAGTCAGGAAGGAGGAATCTAAACCAAACGCTCCCGACTTATAGTCCCTATGATTTACAAAAACAGGCTCCTTTTTACCATCACTTCAAACTTTGCATGGAAGAGAAAAATAACTGAAAAGATCACAGATAAGGATTTTAGCTGTTCATGACTTTATAGGCTTTGCGGTTTGAACACACCATAAAAAAACAGGTGACGGCTGTAACAACCCATTCATACAGGAAGTGTAGCACAGGTGTGGGCTCATCTTTACACAACTGCATTCACATAAAAAGTCAAGCCAGCGGCCTTACGTGATGTGATAGTTTTATAGCTTTCTCCGTCGCATTTGACGTGAAGGACTTTGTGAAACTAAATAAATTAGTCAAACAAATAATTGTGTGCTGCCCTGCGCTGTTACTACATAGCTATTTGGTATTGCGAACAAACTAACAGCAGCAGAGGATTTCCATACAACTGGAAATGCATTTAATTCCATTCAAATATTTGCACTCTATATATTACCTGTTTCTTTTTTTGTCTACTTTTAGATAAAGCAAACAATCTGAATGCCCCTCAGCAGCAGCAATTAAATAAAGTTTAACAAACAAAACTATTTGAATCTCAAAAAAATTAAGCAATAAGATTGTTGCATGATGTTTTGGGTTTGTTGAACTTTACATTGAAGGTCTTGCACGGGGATTGCAGAATATTCACACTACACTGATTCAATTTATTGAACAGCTATATCAATAACTAATAAGCAGACGAGCTAAAAATATAGAAAACACACAGTCTTACATCTACTTGCACAGGATGTATCAATATTTCATCCAAATGGAGTCCAATGAGGAAACGGCAAAGCTTCCAACATTTTTGCATTCTAGTAAATTAAAATACAATCACAATAAAACCTGATAGCCGAAATATGTAACATTTTATATGATGAAGTTGAGGAGGAATTTCTTCCATAGATGAATATCTGTGCAGGAATATTCAGATGCCTTTCAAACCCAACCATGAGCTAAGCACCACGGGTCAGCTCATTAAAGCACAATGCTGTCATATCAGCCATCCCTGACTGAGGCAAACACAAAGAGAGCAACCAGAGGGCAAGCAGTGGTGATGTAATACCATCCAGGTCATTCATTAACTCCCTGCATAACGTCACATGTGTCCACAGCCTTGAGTAGGCCGATAAACGCAGACTCTTTGATTGTTACAGAATGACAAACCTTGTTTGTTTAGAGTGCAAACAATGACATCATCCCACCAACTCCTGCCCTTTACTCCGAGCCATGAGGCTCTCTCATGGACCAAACCTGTTTGTGTTAAGAGACGGTCTTTTTTCAACATACCCGTTTTTTTTACATTTTAATAAGCAAACACAACAAACTGCTGTGCAAGTATTCAGGCCACCAACTGGTAGTCTGGTTTTAAATGAAAGTGTCCATCAAATATAACTAGCTTTAGAAACGACACTGTTTTATTGTTTATAATCCATGCAAATAAATATAATATTCGTGGGTGGTTAATAAACAACTTCTAGATCAATGACACCAACCCTTGAAATTGCAAAGATATTTTTAATCCAACAAAGTAAGTCAAAATTTAAAATATTTGATAAACTATTGCATACGTTTATATGATGATAAATCAGAAAAAGTCAAATGTAAGCCCTAAAAAAAGGCTCTCCGTTTTTACTCTGCAGCCCATCTGAGACCCATTTTTCCTTCTTAACTACCCATTCACAACAACACACACGTCAGCAGCTGGACACAACGTATGAATGCAATTGGTTTGAAATTTCGTATAAGCCTGATGTATCTATATTTGTAGTAACCCAAGCAACATGAATGGTGCCCTTACAGAAAAAAAAAAAATCAATGCTTAGTTGGTCCTGGTAAAGGAGATCAGCACTGTGATACTGTAAACAACAAATCTAGATATAAAGCCCTCTGGTGTCCTCTGATCAATAATCGTGCACTGGCATCTTATAATTGCAGGGTCGAATAACAAACTGGGATTACCCTGGCTCTCCACCGTGGCCACAAATAAGACATGCGTACATAAGGAAATAAACAAAAAAAATTAAGGAAAGGCCGAGGATATACGTAAATATTAATAGTAGCTGTGTTCCTCACAAATTGTATGGCTTCAGATTTTGGGGGACAGTGGAGCGATGAGCACACAAAGACGCAGATGGGACGCTGCATACTGTGACAGCCTCAATAACAATGATGGAGGGCGCGCGGCTGCGTAATAAACTAACCTAAATACGAGAAAAGTGGACACCGCCGCTGCCTCCGCAGATAAGGGGCGTCATTTCCACCGACGCTAAACAACAGGGTTAATAAAAACAGGTTTCCACGGGTGTTGTGTCCGCGGTAAGCCTTGTCCGGTTTTTGTTATGACGCGCGCGGATATGTCCGCACGAGAAAACGAAACAGTCCGTGCTCGCGCTCTGACAGGCTGCGATGACAACAAGCCGCGGCGCGTAAATTCCGCAAATATATCACCCCGAGTTTGGTTCACCTACCTTGAATTTAAGAGCTACCGAATGCACATCTGAACAAAAGAGCCGATAACTTCAACCGGGACGGGTTTAATTCCCATCATAAGTCGGGCGCGCACATCAAGGGAGGGGGGGTGGGGGGGCGCGCGGACGGGTTCACTGCCGCAGCGGGGGGCACGCGCGCGGATAACGAGCAGCCCCTGCTAACGCATGCTAGCTCAACGGGGTAGCGACATCTTTCATAAAAGCTAAAACTAGCCACCGGACTCGCGCTAAAGCACTCACCTCGGACTCCACGCGCTCGCCGTGCGTTATTCAACCGGCCTCCATGTGTGAGGGGACTGCGGCGGTGTCCTCGTGGGGCTGGCCGGTGTTTACCTGGCGGTGTTGTGGGAGGACAGTTGTCCACAGCTGACAGAGGGTGACAGCGCCAGGAGAACGCTGCACATTAAAGCGGGCTGGATAGCTCCAAACGGTCTAGACCTTTAACTAACCAGGAGACGTTGTAAACTCGTGGGGAAGGTTAGATTAGCTTGGCTAAGCTAGGTAAGGGCTAAAACGGTTAGTGTGAATGTGTATGTTAAGGAAGAGAGGGGGGGGGATAGGTACAGGAGGTGTACTTTAGCACTTTCATGAACTAAACCGATGAGGTCATGGTTCAGGAGGGAGAGGAGTGGGGGGGAAAAAAAGGAAAACTGTCAGTTGACGTCACCGCTAGCCAATCAGAGCTGGCAGCTTAAGGGTAAGGTGACGTCAACTTTAGGCTCCGTAATTAAAGGGACAGTTCTTTTTTTTTAAGGACTGAGGCCTGGATATCCTGAATATCCTGTACAGTACGAAAAAAAGGAATTACAAAAATTGTACTGGTAATGATTGTTCAAATGCCAAAAAGACAAAAATTAAGAAACATTTATTTTGTTGATTTGCTTTTTGAGTATGGTTCATTTAGAATTAGCTAAAATGTGATTATGGGAACACAGAAGAGCAGTTTCTGGACCCTTTGGAGGAGAATATTGTCCCATTTTACTATAATTTTATAGTTATTTTGAACCTTTATAACGTGCATAGCTAGACACACAGCATTATCTGTGTTTATATTTGCAACCATGCACCATAGACAAGACGTATTATAGAATGTTTAAAAAATATCTGAAAGATATTTCCACAATTTAATTGTGACTACAAAAAAACAAGACAGAAAGAGCAATGTGATGAGGGTCATCTAATTAAATGCATAAAAGTGCTTGGTTCTCTCAGACCATGAACTGTTGTTCTTGTGTGGAAAACTAATGTTTTTAAAATAATATAGCTTCAGGAGTTATGCTATGTATCTTTTATTGGTAATGAAAGTCTCATTGAACTTGAACAAGAATGTAGAAACTTGACTGATTTAAAACTGATTTATTAGCATGTATGGATTTAAAAAATAATCATTTAGAGATATAGATTTAATCATATAAAGAAATTAACAAAGCTGTATATAGTATATTCTAGGATTAGACTCCCATTGAGTGGATGTTTGAATTAAGCATAATGAATTACTCTGATCATTGATATATCATTGATTGAACATTCAAATGATTTTTTGAGCACTTGTATGAGTGTGTAAATCCTGACATCTAGTGGCTTCCTGACATGAATGAACTGGGCAGCCTAAGTGATGTAGGCTGCTCATTGACACCAGGAGCACATCTTCATGTTTTAGTACAACCGAAATATGAAACCAAAAAGGAACAGAGAGTGCCATGTGAATGATCAGGTTGAGCTCCAAAAGACAGCAACAAGGATTCATGAAAATCTACCTTTATTTGGATGCAAAAACTCACAACTTAAAGCAATACTGTAGCAGAAGAGAGGGATACTGATTGCTGGTTGTTATATGTCCGACTGTTTGGCTCTTTTGTCATCCCTATTTTGATCATCAGACCAGGTAAGCACTGATCACGAGCACTCAAAATAAAAACTCTTCAGTCAAGTACATTGACATTATCAGAGGATTATGTCAGAGGACTCAGATTGTTGCTTTTCTTGTTGGTCTCGGTCCTGTAAGCCCGAGCATGGTAATTTAGGCAGTTTTAATTTCATAGTTAAGCAGATGTTGACTAATTGGTCTGAGCCCTGCTCAGGTTAATCAGTCCTCTGATAATGTTCATGGCCAAAGAAGTTTTATGATTTTGTTACATAGAAAACTATCTCCACTGTTTTAGCTGCCGTACACATAGCAATTATTTCTCAACTGTGTTGTTAACTGAGAGTGGCCTAGAGTCACAGATGGATATAGGGACTGCGTAAAAACTCAGTCTGAGGTAAAATTCTCCAAGAAAACGTTAAAAACATACACAGAAAGCAAAGCATATTAAAGCAAAGCCTAATGGCCTAAAGTAATAATACTAAAGACTAAACATAAACTATTTATCTTTTGTACTGTAAGGTAACTAAGGTAGTTGTCACATTTTGTTCCGTTAAGTCTTGCAATATAAACCAATGGTTTGATCCACAGTATGAGCTACATTCCATCATGGTGTAAACGGAAATATACACAAGGCATCTACTCGAAAGGATTGTATCAAAATGTTCTAAAAATATCTCTGGTTGGTTTCACAAAAGCAAACTGTATCAAAAGCATTGGCTGAGAGCAAGCAATATAATAATAGGCTTAAACCCTTTTACACAACAGAAAGCAGGACAACCAATCACGTCGCTTTGATTGTGGACCTACAGAGTCCCATACAGCACATGCAATCCAAAAAAGTCAACACAATCAAAACACAATACGAAAAAAAAGAACTTATACAGCTGAACATCAGAGAGACAACCTTAGTTGGTCTATTGTGCTTCATACAGATTAGGCCTGGCCTGTCTATACAACAATCATGGGCTTCTTACTTGACAGATGTGTATAAGCTACTGTTGAAAGAAGAGGCGTCACAGAGCATGAGGGTGGAAGGCTGACAGTTTACAAGAATACTGGCTGGATATCCCCGTTGTTTCATGTGTTAGTGAGTGGATCCTGCTCGTTACTCAACACCACTTTGTGTACGTCATAAAAACGGTGTATATGATGAAGATCCGTCTGTGGCATCTGTCTCCCCAGCGGCTCTGGCTCTGTGGTGCCTCTGAGCGAACACCTATGTGGTCTCAATACAGAAGTTGTTTTCTGTAAACACCATGGGCCATGAGGACTGCATTAGCAGCTCGGTAAAACTGTAATACTGCTGACTGCACAGAATCCTAATTCGTTAATTTATAGCCTAACTGTTACATTCCTATGTTTCCATAACATTGCACATGCCTTTAATGAACACTTAGCACCATGCAACCTGAAGATGAGGTGACTCAGGCCTTCTGCAAAGGTTTTTTTTTTTTTTTTTTTACATTAAAAGAGTCAGTGAGAAAAAGGCTAGATGTTATTTAATTTATACATCATATGAATTTTCAGAACAATGTCGTTTTTCATATTAGGCTGGCATTTGATTATTTCTGTGGATTTGAATTACGCTGGCACTTACACTGTAAAGGGCCCGTCAACGATAACGCTCTTTGACTGAACTTAGATATCCCCGAAAACAAACTGCACTTTTGAGTGATCTGAGTTGCTTCGGCTCCAGTTCAACATTTTGAAACTGTACAATGATAACGCGCGGGAGCTATTTCAAACCTGGAGCGAAACAAGGCCTGGATGACTTAAACCGGCGAATATCACTCAGCAAGGAAAACCTCAGCAGCGCGAACGAGATGACGCTGGGAGTTTGGGCTTGGATTATTTAAGGCCTGACAGCTGCAACTCATCAGGAATGTGTGGATTTATGACACAGCAGTGAGTGATTAGGATTTTTTGGAAGGGCCGCTTTGAATCCTCCTCCCTATGATTATTCTGCTCAAAGACATATAATAAGCACAGACTTAATGTCAACTACTCAGTCCTGCCTGAGCGAGCCTGCCTCGGATGAAGAGATTAACATACTTTGAAGTTGTTAAAGGGTGAGACGGCGATGATGATAAGTGGAGTGGTGCATACCACCGGAGGCGGTGCAGTGTACAGTGGTGTGTCTCGGTCTGGGTGTGGCTATAGTGCTAACTCTACTCCTCAGCAGGGTGAGACAGCTGCTTTTCATACAGGCTGAGGACGTGATGCACAAACTGGTACTGCTCACACGTCTGGATCATCCCACCCCTGAAAGACAGAAAAAACAAAAAAGGTAGAGGACTTATGAAATGATAGTTCACATCCACACCATTAAGGAAACCTTTGCTTTAAAAAACCTTATTCGGTTTCCTGGTGCCTTAGTTACTCATACCAGAGATGAAAGTTTGAAGGAATTCTTTGTTACTCTCACACCATCAGAACTTACAACTTTGTTTGGCAAGAAACAACAGAACACTGATTTGCTTAGAAAGAAAAACAGCAATAGTTGTACCTAAAGAGTACAGCTATGCAGCTGTGCCTGAACAAAACTCAGAACGAAGATTCGAAGCACAAATCAGTTAACCTTCCTCTGGTGTAAAACCTAGAAAAAGCTCGGTGTTGACCCTAAGACCAGAGAAGGTTCAAATACCCCTCACATTGCCTCCTCTCTGTTTTCTTTTTTCTACTTCTCTGGGACATAGAGGGGACTGGAGGTATGTGAAAACTAGCAAACAAGAAAAAGGGTGGGTGACTCTCACCCATCAAACTGTGAAAATGGCAAATAGATACAACGTGTGACACACAAATGTCTGATCCACGGTTTTCGCCGTCGCACGTTTTTCAAAATGATCTCCGTGCCGTCAACACAAAATATTTTTGTGTGAGTAGATACTGTATACATTAATAATTCAATTCACAATGTGCAATGGATATGATAAAGCTCCAAGTGTTATAGATGCTGACGAGACTTGTTCAAAGGTCACACCAATGAGTAGGTCCCCCAGGATGCTGCATACCGACTCTCAGCCAGTGAAATGGCATGTTGGCATGTTGTTGCCTCTTGCCACGTCTTTAAAGAAATTTTGTGCTCATCTTTACTCTTCATCTATGCTGTTTTAATGAGATTAAGTAGAAGAGCCAATTTTAATTAACCTTTCTCACTAGACAAATTAGATAAATCTTCAGCGCCCTCCGGTGGTCGTTTTGCTTACTGTGCTTTCTCACCACTTAATAGTTTTCCTCCAATCCCAGTTACGCTTCCATGTATCGTATTAACATTCATCGTCAAATTCTTTGACAACTTGATGATGAATTAAATTAAATTAAATGGCATCTTCTTTTGATTTTTTTCTTTCCCTCCTTTGCCTGAACTAAAGCAGGTGTCCAGCATAACAGGACTAGGCAGGTTTTACCTGTCCAGACGGAGTTGGCAGGTGGTCCTGAGGATGTCCACCACACCCTCAGTCCTCAGCTGCTTGCACAGGATGGAAGTGGCAATGAAACAGCCAGTTCGACCAATTCCAGCGCTGTGAGAGAGAGGTTTGAAAATGATTTAAGAACTACGATTCATTAGTATGCTTATTTTTTCTGGTTCCACCTTGACAAATTGAAAATTGAACTATTTCTTCAATACCCAAGAATATATTAAACCTGGTATTTTCCACAGAGCACCAATACAATCTGAGGTATTTTCTAAAACAAGGTTTATAGTCTTGTCTGCAGTGTACCTGCAATGGACAATGGTAGGGCCACTGGAGGGCGGGGCTTCCTCCCGAGCTCGCTCCACTTCCTTCACCAGCTCCAGCAGGGGGGGGGCCTTGTCCGGGGTCTTCTGATCGGGCCAGGATGTGTACCAGTAATGCCGCAGGCTGCGCTCCTCATCCCCACACTGGCACAAACATGCAGAGAGCTCTGAAACACTGCAACTCTACTGTGCACGCATCTACAAAAAGAACCATTTTTGACTCCTCGCCGGTTGCATGCGCATCCACACCATTACGGCAGTGTCAGTTGCCATAACAACGGCAAATGCAGAGCAAGACGAAAAAGAATAAATAAAATACACGTACTGTCTATTCATCTTATAACCATTCTGTGCTTTACCTTCAGAGTAAACACCCTCAAACTGTGGTCATCCTCTTGGGTTACCGTGACAACGGTGATCTCGATGCCCTCATGGGTCACAGTGTCCTCAGGCCAGTACTCTGCACATTTCTACGAGGACCAATAGAAACAAGACAGAACATTTCCACCAATTCTTTCATTAACCTAGAGTAAAAATGCTTTCTTCTGGTAGTCCACCATCATTACTCATATCTACACAATGACCTCGTTCTTCTCCTCCAGATTGGTGATCATCACTATGATCGGGCTTCTCTCTTGCCACACCATCCTCCAGAAGTCCCCCACAGTGTTCACAGTGGGACCCTGGGTGGCAATGTAAGCTCGCTCTTCATCCCCATAACCCTGTATGCACGCACACACACAGACACACAAAAAGTGCCAGGGTTTGACAATCATTTATTACCCAAGAACAGCAAGGAGGAAATAATTTGCCCGTGAATACACACATTACTTACTTTAAGATAATTTCCATTGATGTATGTGGAGAGAAAATCATCTTCGTCCTGTGAGTTTAACATGACTCTGCTGTGTGTGTCTGCACATGGACGGTGCAACAAAAACATGTGTAAGGGTGACAGAGGGTCAGAGTGAAAAATGTGACATAGTTTAAAGAGTAATTGCTCACAAAAAGGAGAACTTAATAAGCCAAAACACTATAGATACTCTCTAATGTGTCTTTTCCTGACTGCTGTCACATAAGAGATGGCTTTACTCACTCGGTAAAATGGTTTTGTAGCGGTTCTTTCTCACCAGCCCTGGGTAATTGTACTCCTTAGGGTCCACAAAGTTCATGGGAGTTTCCTGCCAGAAGACAAAGCACAATCGGTGCATGAAAAATCACTCCCTGCAGAAAAGTCCAGGCCCTCCCTTCTGCTAAACTGGAAGAAAATAATATTGAAACAGCATGAAGTCATCCGCCGGCCCTCACGCCAAAGTGTTGCTGTCTAAGCGTACACGACTCAACGGCTCCTGATTGTGTTTCATCCGATCCTGAACGCTGCAGTCACTGTAATCGTCTGTGGATTTTAAATGCAAATACACTTTTAGCCCCGCGTCCTTCGCCCACTGCCGGTCGGCGAAAAAGCTTACGGGTGTGTGCGGCGCTCTGATGGGTATTTGTGCCTGTGTAGGTGTGAGCGCTAATGTCCGCGTCTATGTTTGTGTCTCGGTGTGGGTCTTTTCCAGCGTATCTCTGCTGTTTCACGGCGGAGGTGGCCGAGAGCCTCTGACGGTACGCACATAGAACTCGGCCTGCAGGCTCTGGTCATCCATGGCCCTGGTGTGTAGCATGGCCGGGGTCAGGACGTGGGAGCCCTGTCGGAGGTACTCCTGGGCGGACTGGTCTCTGGGAGAGAGCTGGCCTCCGTAGCCGTAGGGCTCCGTGCAGCCGGGTGTGCACATGTCCAAGGTCAGAGAAACGTTGGAGCCTCTCCTGTGTGATTCAGACGGAGTCAGTTTGAATAAATGCCCAATACGAGCGCACTCAATTGCTATGTAAATATATGCGTTCCAGCCTCATGGGCACAGCGCATGCCACCACATAGTTAGTCTAATGGACGGAAACGCCAAATATTTTTCGGTCGCTCCACAAAACAGACTCGGCCTCGGCTCTGACCTCTCCTGGAGACCCACAGGGGTGACCGTGAGGGTGGCAGCGTCCCCCTCCGTCCTGGTGTCCGTGCCGATGTCGAAGACAGGGGTCTGGGGCACTGGGTCCAGGTCCAGCAGATCCTCCTGGGCGTCCGTCCACTCTGACAGGGTGAAGGAAGGCTGGCGACTCACGGACTGACGCCGGTCGCTGACGTCCCTGGACACGGTTCCCGAGGACCACAGGCCGGTGCCGGAACGCCACTTGCACACCATGTGCACAACCTGAAGAAAGATCGAAGACAAACAGGAAGTAGTGACTAAAACCAAATGATCAATTCACCCTTGTTTCTCCGATAAATCCGTTTACAGATAACAGAATGACTGAAAATGTTGTATTTTAAGACTCAATATGAAGCATTTTTCATTATTTTTTCTGAGAGTTGGTGGTTGTGGCCACTGATGATGAACTACAGCTATTTAGCATTATAATAAAATCTTACAGTATAGCAAAGAGAAGACATTTGGAATAAACATGCTGTTCTGGATAATAGATTAAAGGTCTGGTCATTGGTTTACCATGACGACACAGATGGTCACACCAACACCTGCCGTGCCGTGAACGATCCAGTTGTGCTGCTCCGTGTTTGCCACCTCCTTCATTAACACCATCGACTGTCCAACGCAGAGGGACACAGCTGAAAGCTCTACGTTTCACACCCAAGGGTCAAGTGACACTGTATTTATGTCGGAGACTTACGTCCATTCCAAAAATCGGCTGAAACGGTAAAATGAAGCCCAGATAGAAGTCAATGACCTGCAGAGCTTTGAGGACGGAGGAGAAGGGCCCATTTCCCTCCAGCACAAAAAACACCCAGTAACCCTGAAAAGGGAGAAAGAAGGAGGACAGTCTGTCACAGATCCAGGCCTTCATGTTCAGGTCACCAGATGGACACCATGTGATCAAGCAAACAAAGAGGGAATATAGACGGCCTGCTCTTTTTTCACACATATGAGTAAGAACTTAAATAAATGAAGACAAAGGTGGAAAGAGAAGAAAAACAAGGTTTAAATTGAAGGCATATAGAAAAAAAACATATGGGAAAATGAAGGCCATGGTCAGAAAATACCTTGTGCTAATGTTGGAGCTCCACTAATGTGGACCTTATTTCTATTCAGCTGAAACAAAAACCATATCAGGAATGTTGTAAATACACTTTTTAAAACAGGCGCACGTACCGTGACCTGGGAGATTATGAAGAGTGCAGCCCAGCAGTGGATCTCAATCACCAGCGTGTACACCTTATGTATAAAGACTCCCTCTCCCTGTGGGCTCTGACCCCCTGCGGGTCCAGCCTTGCAGTCAGGAAGTCCATCGCCCAGTTTCTCCGTTTTTGTGGGCTCATCCAACCAGACGGGGTCCTCGTCGGGCCTCAGAAAGATGGAGTCTTCAGTGTGCGAACGTGTGGAGCTACTCAGCCGGCGGGTCATGATCCCCCTGATAAAAGAAGCTCCTTGGAATTAAGAACATTTTGATATAAAAGCTTAATCTTTTTAAAGATCTGCATCATTATCACTGCATTTATCTTTTTACATTATTCTTTTAAAGCCAGCCTTTGCCAAACACCACATGAGTACTTTCTATCTCCCATAGTACACAAATGCATAAATTATCATTTTAAGCTCTGGATATTTGTTTAAATCTTTACAGATATGTGAAAGGTCCGCGTGTGTAAGCTTTTTTAACTTCACTAAGAGCACTGTTTTCTGTCCAGTTGAATGCTGGCTGTGTTTGTTGGCCACAGTGCGTCTGGTTTTGTGTTTTTAAATAAGCGTGTACGTGACAGAAGGAGTTAAATGTATTCTGCTGGCCTATTCAGAGGTACAGCAAAGCAGTTTGGAGTGGCTCTCATCTTCGGATCCTCTTGTTTCCCTTCGACGAGACCCTATCGTATCAACGTGTGTGTACGTGTTTGCCTGTGTGTGTGTGAGAGTTAGGAAGAGGGGGAGAGAGAGAGAGAGAGAGAGAGAGAGACGCTCTATTGTGGAAGGATGAGTCAGGGGTAGCGTGTTTACAGCCCTGTCCGTCACCCTGGCAACAGAGTGGCTCTCATCCCTCTCATCCGTCCTGAGCATTATTATCTACTGACAACACACACGTACACACACACACACACCAGTCAGCAGTCAAAGCCCCTTTTCTTGGCCTCCACTTATTGTCCTTCAACCATTAATAAAGGTGTTGTGTGGGTCTGGCTGATTATCAGTGTGTGATTTGCGCGGATGTGTGAACGCGGGTGGCTCACTGTGAGCGCCCATATCACCTTTTTCTTTTTATGAATGTGTTGCCGATGGCTAAATTTGTCGCGAGGTTGAGTTTGGAGCAGGTTTTCATCAATGGCAAACAACGAGCAAGGTGGAATACGGAGCCGGTCTCGTGTCTTACCTATGAGCGATGGCAGGGAACTGGCGAAGGAGTTACATCACATGGTCAGTTCGAGCCCCGTATCCTGTGGCAACTGGTTGTTGTCGGTCATTGCGAGGCGGAGGCAGTTCTGAAGGACAAGGGATGACAGCAGGCAAGTGTTGAAACACGTTACTCATAAGTGAAAAATAAAGCGAGCAAACCGGGGAAAAAATAAAGCCTCTCATAGTCACGGATCATTTGAATGGGAGTCATAATTTCTTGTCCCGTGACCAGTTCAGCCGCTCACACTGAGACACAGGGTTAGTAATCCAGTTTCCTCCGAATACGGATCGGAGTAGCACCCTCATCAGCTCCCAGCTGTGCTTTCATGGAGTGGAGGATGGCGATGTGAGGTGACACTGTAAACTGTCAATATTTCTTCCCTTCTCCTTGCTCTTGTCCCTCTGTGCCTCTCTCCCTTCCCAAAGAAAGCAGGGATGATTCAAACCAGACACCCCTTCAGAATCACAGCCGGATAAACTCCGGTCCAATCAGAATGCGCGGAGTCAAGCCT